GTAGACAAGGAAATGTGGATAGGCAGATGAAGGCAGAGAACGGCACCGCTGTGAGTAAGTCGCAGTGAGTTAGCCGTAAGCAGGATCCTTGTTGAATTATGATTCTTTTTTCGGCTTTTTCCTATAGCTTGACCAACCTCATAAAAACGTTTGACCAGATGTCTCCCATTATTGAACTGCTTGCGGATTATTTAACTAGGATCTGTCATGCTAACTATAGCTTAGCTGTGACAACCCTGCATCGGCCCTGCCGCAAAGGGCGCAAAGTGATTGCTAACTTAGCTATGGGCCGTATAGAATCATTATCAGAATGATCTACCGACTATGCAAGTCTCTTCGAAAGTTTTTACCTGACCTCTTCAAACCGTTCTAACTAGACGAAAAAAAAAGTAACCACCCAACAGGCTGCTGCTGGCAAAGAAGTTCTTTCATGGTCTAGTTTTAGAGTCCAATGTAGAATAAATAAGATCTTTATAAAAGCCTCTACTTCATCTGCTCAAATCGCCTTGAGTAAAAAAATGAAAGGGAATCAGTCAACTGGCAGCTGCTAATTTTGATTGTCTAGTTTCAGAGTCTGGAAGACTTCCAATGTAGAATATAATCATGAGTGTCGAAGTGGCACATGAAACTAGGAAACAGAGTTGCGATGTCGGGTCCTCAGGTCACTTTGCTAGGACATCTTTGCTTCATTCTGCATGTACGTGTTTTTTAATTTTCCGTTACAAATGGCGGCCCTATCTTAAGACAGTCTCGTTTGCTTACATTGTATTGATTGCTGTCATTGCAACGATGTTCGAGATAATTCACTTCTCGTTTTCTCTTCGTCAACATCTTAAAAAACGGTATCCTACAACATCAGTTTTGGGTCTTCCGCTTCAGAAAGAAATGCAATAAACGGAGCCGATTACTCGAGTCACGTCTAAGACGGGAGTGGAAACTGCAAGCTTGTTCCGATTCTCCAATGTTAACGCACTGTTTTGCCGTCCGGAAAATAATTAAGAGGCTTTAAATCATTGAAAATGCAATTCGAGCTTGGCCTTTGTTAATCAAACTCAGCTTCGAATGGTCACTCCCAGTGCGAAGTTCCAGGCATTGATAGTCTATTTAGGTACCAAACAATCACTTGCGCCTCCAAGCTACAGGTTGGTACTAAGATTGAGTGGTATTCGACCTTGCGAGAGACAAAAAGGACATAACATATATCAAAATAGAATAGCAAAGGTCGAAAGTAAATACCATTAAAAAAATTTTCATGGGCGGCCTAAACACCTCAAAGGATTTCAGGCTGAAGGACTTTAGGCACTAAAGGATGAATATGCCGCTTAAATTCAATAGAAACTTGCTAATCTGTTAAGTATGACTTAACGGACAGTTTTGAGCCCTGCGAGAAGGTAAACAATGCAGGAAAATGTACAGGAAACATCAACTCAATGAACAAGCATAATACCGCATCGTAGTTGCCCTTGCAAATTGTTGAATGAACTATCTTCAGCTACATGAGAAGGATCATCCGAACCATAAGACCTCTGCTAGTCACAGACATGCGAGACATTAATGTAAAGGAAGTTCTTCTGCGTGTCTGGCGGAACATGAAGAAAGTACTCTATTATCAGCTTCTAAGTTCTAGAGAAATGATTATTGAACATCGATGTTAATGTCAACTTGGTAAATAAAGCAAAAGGTCCTCTTTCCAGACAGCCTTCTAAGGATCCAAGAAAAACCACTGCGCGCTTACCCGGTTTACTCTCCAGATTTGGCTCCTGCAAGCGATCGTCAAAATCCGTTTTGTTGAAAATATTTCTTAGAGGCTGAGAGCATCAGAAAACTGACCTCTGACTATTTCGACTTAAAAAACGGTATCCTACAAAATATCAACTGCGAAATACTTAAAACAAAAAGTCTTAAGGAGAGTCTACAGAATATCATATAAAATTTACTTTTTTTGTTTCCAAAATCAATGTCGTCATTTAAATGGAGAGTGGTGGCAAAGTAAATCAGATCATTACTGATGTTTGTTCTTTGATCCCCTCATTCCTGGAAGCTCTTCTCAATACAGATCATCCTTTTTATTTTACATAGATGACAGAACCTATGAGAGATTGATCTAGAAAGTATGAGATCTTAATAATCTGACACTCTGCTTACAAGATACCAAGGTACGACATATTACGAGACAGTACATTGGAAGCGCCAGCCGATGACTGAATGAATATTTTGATACATTATTAAGAAAAACTTGTGCTCCATAAACAAACTATTCATAAATGGGTAGAAGGATAGTTATTTTACTTAAAGTGGATCAACATCAGAAAGTATCTATGTACTTAGATGTAGAAGAAAATTATAATTCTTGTAGAAAAATTGGCCCCGTTTCTTTGAGCTCAGTCTTCGACATTGATCCTGTTATGCACTGTGGGTTCCGTAAGATATTAAACAGGGTACATTGCGCGCCAATGCTCTCTGAAGGAACTTCGATGGTAAATGCTTTGTTTTTAAATAGTAGCTCAAGCCTTCGATCTGACCCACCTCAGGAGGCAATTTATAATTTTACACTGCTTTGTTGATTTGCGTTTGGTGATAAACGTTTAATATACAAGCACCGTATTTATATTCATTCAAATCTACATATCAAAAAAGGCAAGTGAGGTGACCAAATGAAGCAAAACACAACAAATAATTCATGTTCGCTGATATTTCACAAGCATATCACTGGTATAACCGTTTAAATCCAGTTATATCCCAGATCGTCACGTTTGTAGCGTCTCAGCTTCTCATTTCAGTCATATTATAAGCGGTATCGCGGTATCGCGGTATTCGGTATAACCGGATGTGTGTTTTAGATTTCCATGTACGATTATAGCAACGTTGTTCAGTAAATATCCTATCAGCTGAAACAAAATCGCTTTTTACGTATATTACAAAAATTCATCTTGCCGTCACCCAGATCGACAGCCTTTAGGTCCCATTCGTCATTGAGTCCGACGCATACGTGATGACACATAAGAATAGTAGAAAAAGTACATCAGGTGTACTCAATTGAATTATTACTACTGAATTCGTACAAAATTGGTTAACTAAATGTTCGCACCAAAGGAGCAATTTTCAAATAAGTAGACTGAAAAACGGACAAAAAGGATATATAGGCACACACGGTATACAAAGATGCATACATACATTTACCACAAAGCCAATCGGTCATTTTTGTCCATCAATTGCCAGCAATGATTTACTAAAATAACACGAGCAACACTGCAGTTAGACCCGAATAAGCAATACATCAGCTGACTATATCCGATACGCTCATACTTACTGGGAAAGAACGTTCAGCTCGTATAGCCCTTTGAGGTGCCGACCGATAAGCGTCAAGCTGCGGCGAGCATACACATGCCACGGGTAACCTAGTGGCCCAGAGAGAAATGCGACAGACTGGCAGATGCCGACTGCGGGGAACGGCCACCAAGACGATAGAAAGTGGAAAAACTAACCAACGTTACTAGAATCATTCCTGATTCTCGATTGGTTTGTTAGTCTGATACAATGGATACACACAGTGTGATACAAAAAAAATACACCGTTTGACGGGTCATATCTTTCTTACCTGAATTATTATTCACAATATAATTAGTTTGAAATAATGGACATTAGCGAAGAATCAACAAAGAGAATTCATTCTGAAATGCTATAATATGACAATATAGCAGAAGTATAAGACGGACTTCAGGCAGATCTACTCACGCTACCTGCAGTTAATTAGATAGAAGATAAGTCTGGAACGAACGGAACTGTGTAGGTTGTCATAATTGACGTTTCGGAATACTACTGAAGTAATATTACTAGAATGTTAAAATGAAATACTCGAAAAATCACAAATTATGGACCGCCAAGAGCATATAAACAACAAAATCTATAAATGTCATAGCATTGTAACAACAACGTGAGCATTTGTGGGCGGCAAAAAATCGTCACGGCGCTCTTATATATATCTTGTTTGCGTGAAGGTCTTCGTTTCTTATTGAATATTTATGTAGACAACGAAAGTGTTTGTCGAATATACCTTTATTTTTGAAACTCAGCTGAATACTTCTTACAAAATGCTATATTCGAAACTTCTGAAACAGCCAAAAGCTCAATTTTTCAACGACTACACAAAACTTACAATAAAAAATTTGACTTTCCTCTTTACGATATAAATATCGTTTTTATCACTGAAGTTTTTATCGTTACGCGCGGCCATGACCTTCACTGTATGAAGATATGAAGTCGTATATTTTTCAGCTTTACTGGACAAGAAAAATGGTTGTGATAGTATAATCACGCCTGGCAAATTGCCAGAGGATAACGGGAAAATTTATCACCAAATCCCTCTAAGGTCATGATTTAAGTGTATTTGTGCGTATACAGGACTATTTAATGAAGCCAAATTAACGGCGGATAAAACTGCTGGTTTTCTAGGTTATGATAAATTTTCTATACTTGAAGAAATATTTAAATAAAGGAAATTTGCAAACGCAAATCACATCAGCATATGAACAAACACATTGTTTTATTCTGAATAAGTACAAGCGAAAAAGAAATGCACATGACAAAGCAACTAGTAATTTGTCTGCATTTTTTTAGCGGACATCGGTGTACGAATATATATAGCATATAGTAAACGTACATTTTGGCTGTTTAGTGGCACTTACGTGGAATATGTTATGCGGTACACAGATATTTAAGTCAATGTTTTTTTATCACCAATTTAATGTTTCTAGAGACTAGGAACTTTAGCGTAGCATACATTTAATTTTTTAAGTCTCTACAGTTAATTTTTCTTGCTCTGAGAACCATTATATGTATACTGGTAGGGGGCGTGGCAGAAGCATACTTGAAAAACAATGCGTATGCAGTAATTTGATTTTGCCGGTTCACGGTGCCCGCTACCTCTAAAAAATGACTACGTAAGGTTATACTTATTCAACTAAACACCAAAATGGAAATGCTTTCACAGTGCCACTTACCGGAGATCGCGCCATCCTGTAACCCAGACGATCCAGAGGAATCTCCATCCGCCTGTAGCCGCGTAATATATGAATATTAGAAGAAAAAGTTGATTGAGTGAAAACTCTGCCGCAATGGCCCCCGCCAGTAGCCCACACGCACCTGCTACTTTGAGCCACATCCTTAACACCCGCACACTATTGGCGTTGCCCCTCCAGCCGTTGCCGAATTTCCAGGGCACGTGAAGGGCCCGCGCACGAATCCCTGTAGAAACCAGCCTCGTTCCCAACTGATTTTAACCTCGGGCTCAATGAATCGAACCGCCTTCGCACCTCGAGGAGAAGTCGTCTTCCTGCTGTTATTGTTGTTCTCTACAGCTAAAGCTGCAAAGCCCCGACACACGCACGACACAATAAGCTATTTCACCAATTATTCCGCTGTACGAGATTCACAGCTGCCGAAATGAAGGGCACCACCTGCAGATGAATTAGCACAAGATCCTTTGTTACCGAAAGTTTATTTAAACTTTTTTTTTAACTTTTTTCAACACATACACAATATTAGTTATTCACAAATCGTTGCACATGGACGAATTAACACTTGGGATCCACCTCCACTGATGATGCAAACCTTAGATGATAATTTTTTGCTATGTTTGTCGCCACAAGGCGAGACTGACAGAGAGAGACGGCTTCGCTTACTTGTTTTCTGCTGAAACTTTTCTTCATTACCCCCTAAGTTTTAGGCGCTACAAGTCAGGGGAGGCGCGCTTAGAGATTCCAAGACTCAGACTAAAGCTGCGTGCTGTCGCGAAAGAGCACAAAACCCACACAGAGTCCTAGACACAGAAACAAATAGAAAGATAAAAACAAAGATAGAGACACTCACGGGGCTCTCTGGAGTAATGATTGTATCCGGTGTCGTTGACCTTGTTGTTGTTGACTTTTTAGCTCGTGTTTTTTTGTTGGTTGTTTGTTATTGAGTATCGACAGTCGTCGTACTTGCACGATGCAAGGAGCGCTGTATACTGAAAGGTCCTTACCAATCGACCGTCGACTTCGGCGAACTATTGGACTCTTTAGAAGGGCAAGGAGGTGTGAACCAGGCGTCGGTGGGTAAGGTACCACAAACACACGGGTGGCAGAGATTAGGAGCAGAAGTGGTAAGGAAGGAAGGCCGCCGTCGTCAGCGACGAAGGAAAAGATTGCTACCGCAGTCGTAGTAACGGTCCATGGGGCAGGCACAGGGGCAAAGCTGCAGTAGTAACTGCAGCGATATTAGTAGTACCTTGGAAGTGGCAGCCCTGATAGTAACGGGGCAAGGGCAGTGGGGTGACCAACGTTCTTTAGGCTTTTATCGACGCTGCCGTTTTCGTGTGGATACTAATGTTGTTGCTGTTGCGGAAATGTGTAATGTTCTGCCCGGTTTGCTTCTTAATTTGACAGCTGTTAGTGCGTTGCAAACAGCCACTGCCAGAGTTCGCAAGTTCAAGATAGCGCGCACAGAGCTTTTTTACAACATATCGCACAACCGACGATGACTAAAAACGATCACACTCTACACATAGGAGAGGACGTATTTGTTCGCAGATTCTCACATATACCTGTTACGCTTACGCAGCTACACACACATAGAAGCCATACTTTTAAACACACAGTTTCTGTCGTCGTCGTTGTCGACAAATATAACCGATGTGCCGATGAATCTAGCGACGTGGGTGGTTGGTGCAGAAGCAGGCAAGCTTAGTTCAGTTCAAGGCGCACTGCGAACCTCAAAAACCTGCACACGAGTGCGGTGGCAGTCAGCCACGTGAAGGACAGTTCCTGACGTCAGCTGAATAGTAAGCTAGTTAGAGCGCGGCGAAGTGGGAGACAATGTTGTTGTAGCAGTGACAATAACAGTGGTTGTAGCTGCAGTTGCAGAAGCGAGTATTGCGAGGCTGTTTCAGCAGAAGCCACGTCTCCCAAAATCGCCGTACGCTTTTCAGCCGTGCACACGGACACACACAGACAAATTCAGCAGACACCGAAGCTTCTACAGCCACGCCACACTTCGGGCTCTGGTCGTTACTGTTGCCTTGCTTTCTTTTCTTTCGTAATTTTCTTTGCAAGGTCCTGTCACCAGCTACGAGATGTCGCTTGCAAAGAGAATCCTCTAATGGGAGAAGTGTACAATGGGGTCGGCGCGGCTCATGACCAGTTCACTATGCTATAATTATTATCATGGTGGCTGGACGTTGCCGTCGCCGTTGCTTGCCACCTTCCTACGTTAGCCAACTGTAGTGAAGCCAGCAGCCGAAAGCGGAGAGGAGGAAAGGAAGAAAGATGAATATACTAACGAAGGTGAGGCGACGTAACTGGCTGCTTAAGTGTGTGCGGACGTTGAGAGGCGGAACTAACCAGCGGCGATAGAAGCAACGCCAACAGCACCAGCAGACAGGCGCGAGTCAGATCCATCCACGCGAATTCACACAGGAACGTATTGGTGTGCTTCTTTTTTTGGCCACAGACTACAGCGTGTTATGGTAATACGCTAGCGATGCTGAACCGGGATCTGCTACTGTGATGTGCTCTGCGTTTTTGCTTCTAAATCGAGAATCCAGCACAGTTACTTGTAGATCGGCTGCAGACGATCCACTGAGCCCCAGCAGAAAACCCTGCAGATGTGGCGAAACCTGCTGGTGCCCCAGCTACTCAACAAGCGATAGCTGTGGCGGTTGTGACCAGTCGCTGAAACGCATCAAGGGGGAACGAAGCCACTTTTTGAGCCGTTTAGCCCCTGAGACTTCAGTCGGTGTGGCGAGAGCGCAATGGACGGACAAACGGGTGGCAGGCAAAGACGGGCCGCGTTTTTCTTCAGTCCTGTTTTCTTGAAATTACTTGTTGAATGCAGGAGCAGCGATCACTGAATAAACAGGAAAGAAGGACACCGAGCTATCGCGCAATTAGCAGGATCACTTCGCTGCATGAAAAGCACATACACACTTACGCTGTTCAGCTTACTTTATACGACCACACTTACAATAGACTGAGCAAACTACAGGCTAACTTTAATTATTAATACGCCAGGCCAAGAGGGTGATAGCAGTTAGTTTAAATAGTTAACAGCTTCAAGTGAAAGAATGGTCAGCTTCGATACGGTTCTATATGACAGTCAGTTGCTTCATCAAATACCAAACAGAAGCAATATATTAGGGAATGTAAACGTAAATTCTATTGTCATGGTGGTAAAATCTTACCGTTGCTGGTAGCTATAGTTGACGTTGCTAGTATCAGCTACCAGAGATGATTCTACTAAACAGCGCAATGGTTTAACGATTGCCCAAAAGGTAATTATACAAGTTAAGCGCCAACAAAGCCGTTACGCTTAGTATGTAGACACCCGGCGCGTCAGAGAGAAGTGGCCACATAGCAGCTGGCCAAAATCAAATCAGACTCCACAACGATGATTTGCATGTGCGTGAATGTATTCTCAAAAAGATGCCACCTGCGGCATCAGCCATAGGAAAGGTAGCTTCCTGGTGTATAGTATTTTTTCCACTTAGAAGGTCATTCCGTTATTCGGCCATGCGATCGGTTGATCACCGACCGCTCTCTCTGTTGCGTTCTCTCTCTATTTGATCCGTGCCCCGATGGAACGAGGTTTGTATTTTGGTCGACAGCTCGGCAGCCCACTCAGTGTTGACACGGGAAGCAGACGTTTTTTGCCCGCTCGTTATAGCCTTCTCTAGAACGATCCGGGAATAGCGCAAGCACGCTCCGTGGCGCCATCTAGCAGGGCCTCACCGTATTGTCGTGCAAGCAGCAGAATATTAGAAATATACAGAGTACATACGACTCCTTTATTATTACACGACTGTTAATAACATAACAAATCAGGTCAAATAGGTGACGCCTTGGAGCAAAATGGATATTACTAGAGCGTTGGTGCTAGCTGACGGTGACGTTAATCAGTCGCTGTTATATCTGCCACACACCTTTCGTGATTTATGTAATCTAATAACGGTTTACTAATCTCGTCCACTGGCTACCAAAAGATGAAATTCACTTTTTTTTTGTTAATAAATACATTTCATAAGGTCATTATATTGAAACTGAGAGTGAGGGCTGTGGTTTTTAAATTAATAATTTAATTGAGAATTTGCTTATTTTAATTTAAATTAAGCACAACAAAAATGCTATAAACAGTAGCTGGACCTAAAAACAAAATTGTCATCCGCAAGATAGCCATATTCACTTACATCTGTATTATTAGTCTTTAACATCAATTTCAATATGTCTGGCATCGGGGTTGGAAATGGCTGTGAAGAAAATACCCCCGATCACTGTTACCATTGACAGTGACAAAAAGTGATGTTGATGCCAAAATTCAAGCGATACAGGAATAATAAAAAGAACCGGTCTTCGGTATACAGTTTAGTCGCAGTTTTAGTCGTATTACTGACATCAGATGGAGATAATCATGGGAAATGAATGATTTAGATTTTTCAACCTTCAGATAAACATAACGAACTTGAGAAGTAACGGACCGCCATTAATACGATCAATATGATTTAAATTAAATTCTACACAATTTGAAATTTCTAGTGAAAATTTAAACTTTGTGGATATTCGGACGTACGTAATCGCTGCGCAATGACTGATAATGCCCATCAAATCATTTTTCCATGCTTGTTCAAGTTCGCCGTAGACATATATATATGAGGTATCCATGCTTTTAAGGTAATTACAAAAACGTGATGCTGAAAAGCTCACAAATAATGAATAGCCTAACCAACCGGAGCCAGTTAAGGGCTTAAATCGCTCTTAGCATGATTTAATTGCACCACGATGCAGCGCAGCTCAGTCTTCACTAAAAGTTACAATCATGAAACTTCCGAGCTGACAAATATCGTACCGTTGTTGCTAGACTGAAACAGGCTTCCACAATGTTTTCCACGAACCTTACAGTACGCATATATTATATATAAGAGAGCAGAGCCTGTTATAATTCGCTCCGTTCTAGGCAATAGCAGTTCGATGTAATGGCTAGACCTACACAAGGCTCGAAGCATTTATTTTCACTAGAAAAACTCGATTATACTGACGATTCGATTGACCATTCGATTAATTTCCATTTCTTATTTAGCACTCATTTACTTATTTTCAATGTCTTTTAATAATGCCGACGTATTTGTAAAACCATTGTACCTGAAGCTAACGTTATACATTTATATTGATGGGATGTACGCAGGGAAACTGACGTGTGAGGCCGTTGAACAATCTGTGGAGCAACTTGCCGGATAAGTTAGTTAATAATAATAGAGAATGACCTTTTAACTAATATATCGTACTCCCTTGAGAAATAAAAGAATAAACTACTTGCATTTGCATTGATAAAGGCGCATAAAAAAAGTAATAAGCTTCCTTTCATATTTGACTGTATTGAGGATTCTTTTCATTGTACTCCCGTCTACCTCATTCAAACCCTTGTCTATAATTTGTAAAGGAAAATTGCCGGTTCAACATAATTCTAAGAGCTGCGCAGTTCTGTGAAAATAAAGTTTATCCGTTTTACACTTACTCTAGGAGTGCCAAATAATAAACTCGCCTATGTACTTGTATCCACTATCACGTTTCGTTTTGGGCAAAAAAAAAATTGTGACAGTTCCTAAGGTTCTTACAAAGCCATGCAGTGAAAGAACTATCTACGAGAACAGCCCTGTATCCCTACAGGGAATCATGTAACGTATTGGCTTCAGCTGAAAATTAGAACTAATCTAAAGTTTCATTGCCGTTTTTGGTTTGGAACAAATTAAGTTATAGGGGACAAATTTTTCTGTTACTGCGAAGCGTCGAGACTTTGATGAGCTACAACATTTAATGAAATATAACGATTCAGTGCTTGTAATGCTTAATTAAGTGCTGCGGGTAACATATATATACGTATATGTTACCCGCAGACCTAAAATGTCATGCTCCCTATTTATGTTTAGACTAGCTGTGTGAAGCGGATATGGTGATGAACTGCAAAGTTGATTTCTAATAATGATCTACGTTTATGTTTCATTCGAACATAAATGATTTTCTATGGTTTCAGGAAATCTGTTGTCGAAGCTCTAGATTAAACCGTGATTATATCGACTAAACGCAAACTCCGAGACAAAATACCATCCTGTTGCACATATAATTTAAATTCATTAAAGTAGATACAAACACCGCCGCTCAAGTTTTATTGGCTGGGCGGTGATTCACTATTTTTTTTACTCATTGCTATGTTTACTGTTCCTTTGCTACGCTTCGATCGCCAGAGAAGGTTTTTCTCACATTACTTATTATACCTTTGCATAAAAGAGGGCTTTATGTTTAAGATAAATTGAAGTCGTTCTCTGCTAACATGACACAAACAAGTTCTCATTTGTATGACCAAAAATAAATCAACATTTTTTTTAGTTGAGTAGTTTTTTTTATATATATAAATATAGTCATTTAGATTTCTAGGTCATGGTGAATTCAATGTTCAGGCTATCTTTTGAGTATTCAGGACAAACTATATTATTTTATTATTTCAGACGACCTAGTCTAGATATTCGGCCTGCGACTATCTAGTATTGTGGGTACAAAGGCCAAGTCCGTTTCACATGTTTAGATAAGGTTCTAACTCTACTTTCACTAAACAGTACGAGCAGCGTCAAGCCACTGTTGTCTTCTGCTGCAGTGTGATTGTTGCTTCATGAAAAGGGTGCATTAGGCAAAGTGCGAAAGCAAGGTCAACACTTAGAAGTTTATACGTAAGAGCATATAATACTTAATAACGTTTAATAAGTTTCCATTGTGTGCTGCTCTCTGAAAGAATTTAAGAATACGATCTATGAAAAGCGTTTGCCAACCCTCGAGAGTACATTTCAAGTGGGCTTATCTATACATGAGGTTGCTAAATATTTGTCTTTTGCATGTGCTAAAAGTGTCATACCTGTCTGTCGTGATTATCCAATATAATCAATATAAGCCACGAGGATTGCAGCCTTGATTTAGGAACAAAACCGCACATTAGTCGTTTTCGAGATACTTCCTTCTTAATCTGTAAATAACATTTCAATAACTCTGCTATGTAGCTGTATATTCAATAAAGCGTTGCTTAAATGTTCCATGTTAAGCTGCCGGCAAGCCGAAACGTTTAAACACGCAGAAGGGTCAAAACTGCGAAAAAGTATAGGAGGCGCAGAACGTTTTAAAAAGTCATTGGAGTCTATCTGAACGAGCCAATGAATAATTGATATTTTTCTTTCGGCAAGGGCCATTAAGTTCTGCATAAAAAATCTATTTGAGATCCTTTGATAAACGTTGAAACCATTCAAAACTCTCAAAGATCTTTAATAAAGATCTTCCGGTCGCTTCCATGGAAATGTTATTCAGATTTTGAATGTGAAATTATGTGTGATCACCATATGAAAACTGGCACTAACACGACCCGTCAACATAGAGGGCAAAAAGGAAGTTCCTGATATTGGTGAGGGTTTGTCTAGCACTGAAAGCTTGTTTAAGAATTAATCTTCGCTCAAACTACGAAAAAACAAGGCAGAGTTGGCCATGGCAAGTTTTTGGTTCGATTCGGGAAAGAACAGGCTTTTCTCTCCTGCGAAGAGTAACGTATGGACATATGCCTGTTACAACAGACAACCTACCAAGGTTTTGTCCAATTTGAGCAGCCCATGTTGTATACTAGCTAACCCATAGAGATAGCCAAAACGACCCAGGTTTGAGACGATAGGATTTTATAAATACTATAATTTCAGATTATCTTGGCATTTTTTTAGCGTTTAGATTTATAGCACCAGTACCTTTTGATATCCAACGGTGTATGCTTCTAGTATTATTGTGAGTTTAATTGAAAACACCTTGGGTCTTGATAGACATTTGTCCAAGATGTTTACTCGCACTGTCGATGACAAATGCTACACGATTAATGTAACTGAATCAAGAAAAAACAAATTTATATACAGCCTAAAATAATTCGTGATCAATCCTTAATTGTCTAGTCTGTCAGGTTATAAGGTCGAATACCTGTATTACTTTTCCAACAACTTTTACGTGCTTAAAATTTTATCTCAGCTGAAGCTTGCGCATGCTGTCCACAGTTCGGTAGTAAGCTGTAAGATGTCTAGGACCTAAATAGGGAGTTCAAGTAAATACTTCCGTGGAAAAAGATAAAACAGAGTGACTTGAGAGCCGATAATAGACGTGCTCCCAGACATAGCTTGCAGATTTGCGTGACCTGGTTGTCACTTTCAGTAATAGTCGATTTTAAATCCGAAATGTGAGTGTTTCAAACGGTTTGACTTTGAAATAAACTGTACTTTAAAATAAATAATATAAGAAAAACCTTCTAGCCCTAGTTTATTAATAATGCTTTAATTATGTTTTCCTTTTTTCGCCCTGAAGTTTTCTCCGCTTCTTCAGAGAACAAAGCATGTTGCCTGGAACAATTTACTGACTTGACTGGACCTTAAGAAAGCATATTATTGCAATGGAGTATTTTGTATTATACAGCATAGCTATTGTGTGCAGCGCTAAAGAAAAATGGTACATGGTTTTTTTTTTAGACACTCGAAATATTGCCAATAAACTGACAGTTTGTTTTCAGATGAAACAACGATCATAGAAACTATTCGAGGAAAATTATACAATCATATAACATAGCTGCTAATAAAACTGTTCCATATTTTAACCAAGCAACGGACAAACAATGGTCTTTACCTTGCTACCGTTTTTACAATATCAAATGTTAAGTCGTTTTGGTTCACTCAGTCCAATCGGGGATGTTAGACAGCCGCCATAGCTGTAAACTAGGCAAACTGGCAAACCATAAGCAAAATTGACCCTCTTAGTTTTATGTAATGCCTCAGTAGCAATAACAATAATAGCAAGCTGATAAAAGCCATATAGGTAGGATTGAAAAATCCTGCTGCAGCTAACCGGCAAATCTTTTAATCTATGACATATGTAGTGATGACCCTGACGTTATAAACAACAACAACGCCAATGACAACTGCACTAACTTATAAAAGTGGTATAAAACAAATCTACAGTTATGTCATGTTAACTATTGTGTGCCTAAATGTTGCACTGTCGTTATGCTGCGAGTAGCGATAGTGATGCGACTTACGTATTCTTCAACGTAATATTATAGGGCACTGGCGCTCAAAAAGTAGCATGCAAGTAAGGCGATGGAACAATTCACCCTGCCCTGCCATTCATGTCACGGCCATAGTCATTGTGTTCCGATAAACACTGAGTGAAAGAAAATATTAACGCTTACGACAGAACTACAGTCTCAAGAAATAAAACCAGCAGACGCTAACACATACACAGTGGTGCTTGCACATTAAAGTATCGGTAACCAGCGTGTGTTGGCTGGCTAAGAACAACGATGGTTTAAAAGGTTCATGTATGAAGCAAAAAGTTCTAATGCGATATTGAGTAGGCAAGCGAAGCGTGCTGTAAAATCGGTAGAATCGACTTGTTTTGGTGGTCGCAATGGTGATAATGACAGCATTCTGAATTTCATTTTCTACACGTCTCTTAGTTTCTAAAGTTTAAATGTGTTATTCTCCGCGAACCACAGAAATCCGTTTCAGGCAGCCTTTCTGAAGCTATTATGCTATGCTAACTTCTTGGCTGGTACGGGTGGCTGCTTACAATTTCGTAATGCCGCATATATATACACGTTATAGTCTAGAATATAAAGATGTAGTTCTTGGACTCCGATTACCAGTCTTATTTCTGTAAATATTTCATCATCAGTATTTCTACAGAATGTTAGGTGGTATTGGTATTACTAACATTTATTGAATTGTTCCTGACTAAAACTGCAAAAAAAAAGGTACGTTTACTCTGTCACTGCAAATCATAGTATCAATATAATCATGATACCAAAATTAACCTCTTCCGCCAGATTTGTAAAACGCACTTAGTAGTTAAAATAAGATTTTAAGAAGTAAGGCCTCAGGTAAACCTTCGTTGCTTCCTGCTAATAGATATTTAGATCATACGATGTGTTTCGAAATAAAAAGAAAAATAAAAGCCAGCAAGTTTTACCTCGAAGAATGTTAAACATTGCTCTAGGTATTAAATTGCTTCTGAAATTTTAATTCTTAAAAGCATTTTTAACACAGTTCTCTTAAAACACTCTTTTCATTTGCAAAAGAAGTAATTATCTAATATTGTATTAACAAAGCAGAAGGAATGCGTAAATAAACAGGAAATTATTTTCAGAAGCGTCGAACTTTCATGGATCTTGACAGCGTTGTGTCGCTTTAAGAATATTTATTTAGTAATCGTATTTAATATTTTGTATTTGGCAATGTCACATATGACACAGACCAATGTAGTATAATTACCAATGAAGCCATCGCTTAATTCTAGAGAAAGTAAAATTTATGAAACTATATGAAGTCCACTGTTTAGTTTATCTTATGCTACTTAGAATCGCAGTGGCGGTTACTTTTCTAGCTTTCATATTTCTAAAACTTAAAAATAACGTCCACTGAATTGGGCCCGCTTATATATTTGTCTTTCTATTGTTATTTGTAATGTTATGAAAATTGTATCAAAGGTGACAGCTTTATATCTTATCTATAAGAAACTACTCTTCAAATTATTTCCTCTAACAATATACAAAGTTTGTTATGGACTCACTTAATTACTTACTTTACTAATTTAATAACTTAAATACTAAAGCAAGCAATAAGTTACGACATATATTAGTGCACACGGAACGTCCTTTTTACAATTCTGTCTTGGACTCTGAAGTTAGAAATAAGAGAGGAACAGCAACTTTTTTATTACAGCTTGCTTACACGTGTGCAACCCATAGACGTGGCTAAAGCTTCATACAGCCAAATAAACCTAGCCATAATCTATACAGAAAAACCCTGCACATCGGGTCATACACGAGAAAATCGAGATTCACTATGTCCTCAATGTCACTATAAAATGCCATGTTTCTATGGGATATCACATTTAAATCTTAGTATTATAGAAAGCTACTTCAGCAGAGTCTGGTTACATTACGTTGTACAGAGTGCTATCGGGGCCTATTGGGGACGTCAGACTAGCACCCCCATCCTATTAGTCACGCAATTACCGCAGTTGTGGTTGATTGCCTTCTGGATGCGCCCAGGTCTTTGCAAGACAGAATTTCTGCATAAACCTCAAGATAATCGCTGTACATTTTATCGCTCTCTTTAGCCTGCAGCGAAGAAGTACAGTAAATATTGCATACATCGTTATGTAATCTCAGTTTCTTCTTTCGGATTGGTTTCTATCCACAATTCACATTACTCATTAATGGCACAAAAGTGGATAATATAGCTCAACGAATGCTCTGTTCCTCATTTCCAGATGTTTTGCCTAACATCCGCAAGCATGCCAACAATATGATTTGAATGTATATGTCGATAACATTTGATATTATCCATTACGGCTTAAAAATAGATTAAGGTTAAGTTAAGATAAGGATGTAATTGCTTAGGATTTCATTTACTACCATGATCCTTTAAACAAAAGACCAAATATCCGGAATAAAGCACTAGGAATAAAGTTTGCCATTAGGAGGAAAATCATTAAAAAGACTCGAAGAAATTATACAGCATTTATTTTAATGACTTGATAAAAGATACCTACTATAAAGTTCTAGCACGTGGTTTCTATGAAAAATGAATATGATTTAGCTTTTCAGTTGTTCCTTATGTACTTGAAGTTGGCTCCCGGCTTTGCTACAAGGGGCCTCATGTTTAAACAATTTCAGTTGATTATCCGCTCCACCGCTTACCATGTATTCAGGTATGCTCCAGTCGCAGCAGAGGATCTAAAATATATACAATGAGTGTTTTTAGCAATGCTCGTACGTTATGAAGTGTATACACTTGGCCAAGTCTTTTGCACTCGTCTATAATGCAATGTGCGATAACAATGTGAATGAAGAGATATAAGTGAGAAACAGTACAAATTAACTTTTTGGGCGATGCAGGCGTATTATTACATACCGTTTGACGTTCTCTTATTATCTCTCTTTAGCTAAAACGATCATCACAAGCTTGGTCTATCGAATTTGCTACTCATCAAAAAAAAAAAGATGAAGTTGCTTGTCATTAATGAAACTGTGTAGATCATCGAGCATTTCGAACGATTTCATTCGACTTACCCTGTCTTCATGACCCTGCATATCATACAGAGGCGTCTTCGTCGAGCGGGTATCCCAGAGCTTTACAAGAGTATCATATGAAGATGATATGAATTGCGTGGCTTGTGCTGGACTCCAGCAAACGGCAGTAACCCAACCGCTATGAGATGTGAAGTTTGCCTTTACCACGGAACCTAAAGAAAAGCAAAATAGTTTTGTGCCTTAAAAACTACATACGTATATCGGCGATTAGCACTGTTTAATAACGGTTAGTCTCCGTCGAGCATCGAAAAGCCAAGGAAGCTTTCATGGAACATTAGATTTTAAAATATAGTACTTTCTAAGCGCGAATAAACGGGACATTTTTTAATATATGGCGAAAACGAAGCGATGTCACAGATGTCATACGCAAACTTTGCCTTGTTGAATTTCTCATGGAGGGAACTTAGTCTAAATAAAAGCGTTCCGACGTCATTCGTCTATAAGTAGGATTGAAGAATTTTTTGGTGGGACGAAAGGCATCATCGATAGATGTGTTTATTTATTTTACTTATTTAGTGCAATATTCATTTAATCTGATCTGGCTTCACCTTCGGGATCTAAGCCATGTACCTGCCCGCCTCAAAGCCAAGCTATTCATTTTTTTTCAGCCCCCCGTAATAGCGACAACGCGCGAATCGATGTCGAACTCCGTTAAACGCTCATTAAATCACCTACATGATAATTCAACGAATCAAAATCTGGAGCGAAAGTGAGAAATAATGCTTCGCGAACAAGTCAACTATTCAGTCCTGCACTAACTTGCTTATATCAGCAGGTCCACCACTGAAACGTGAATGATTTATTACATAGTTTGACACAGCCTCCACCCACAGTCTCACCACAAGCCTGAAGAACGTGAAACTAAATTTTTCTTCTTCGGTAATGCCTTCTGTAAAAAGATATGGCGGCATGATTTCTTCATCTTACTCAAAATAGCGATGGTTCTTACAGATGATTTTTACACTCATGGAAAATATTTTTCATCGGCGAGATATTGAAGGCGATCTGAGCAACGCCATTTCAACAGAGTTTTACGAAAACCCAAGAACAAAGTTTTAGCATAGGTGTTTCAAAGAGATTTTGCCTGATTTTATAATATAAAACTCCTACTCGACCTTAGTCGAGCAATCGTAGTCCCTATCACGTGATGCTTAGCCCTCTAGAAATACAGCAAAATATTACGCGCCATCGAAAATGCACCTTTTTGTGTAGTTCTCCGGTCCTTAGAATGGCTGGTCATGAACCTTCCATTATGTTATATAGAAATTTTTCACCATTTTTATAGCTATCGCACAGCCAGCTATTATCCAATAAATATCATTTTTGGCTAGTCATAAGAGTTTTTGGTGGAGGTTCATCCAGATTAAATATCGTCGCAGTTAGTTCGCTCATTGTAACGACAGTTCATAGCATTATAACCATATTCGTAAGCGCAAACCTACCTTGTTTGGAGCGTGGATCCCATAATCGAATATGTCGGTCTGCATGCGCTGTCACAATCGATTGGTTAAGTGGTGAATAGCAGAGATCAAGGAAGGCCTTCGATCCAAGCAGGTTGTTGCTAAATCCCCCAATTTCGATATCCCATACCTTGAGCGTGCAATCCATTGAGCACGTCAACATTTCCGATGAGTTCATAAACTTCACAGCTAAACGTACAAAATGAACAACCAGTACGATACGGTTTTACTTTATATTCAGCTTACGTAAATAAATAATCCTTTTTCCGTCACGAATATTATTTTATCCCAACATTGCGAAAACTAAAAATGGTAACCAAAGTAGAAGCTTGTAAATGCCTAACCACGTCATTTTTTAATTACTACTATAGCTATTATTATACTGAAAACAAGTACAGACAATTATAAACTTCGTATTTTAAATTCGTTTCGTTCAAGGTTTGATGTAATATTAGCTATAGACCTATACGCTGCCTGGGGAAACCCTTGTACCTTGCTTTCAAAATAAGTTCAAATAGTCTACGTTATAAAGATTCTTAAACTAAACCTGTGACGGCCTCCGTATGACTGGCGAGCGACACAAGAGGAGTTCTTGTGAAGCGTCGTACAGTAGGATGATCCACTTCGAAGCGACTCCTTTTCACATCTCCTTCGGTGGCTTCTTCTTTCTTAACGTCTAATTGTGTCTCCTCTGTTGAGGTCGACCACAATTTCACAACGTTGTCGAAGCCTGATGTGGCAAATCTACGATCATTTAAAAAAAGGCAGAGCCTGATACAGTTATACATGTCAAGGAATAGTATGTCACAATAAATGTCCAAAAGGACCTGTTAAAGAGGAGTATGTATATTGCAATGATTAATAAGAACTCCTTTTATGAATCTACGTTTAAAGATATGTTCAAATCATATGTTTAATATTATTGTAGTATGGATACAACGTAAAGCCCTAGCCCTTATTGTAATCTTTTATTCTCTTTTTGTGTATCGCAATGCTGACGCGCGTTACAAATAACGTTCAAAGAAAAAGATCTAACGCGATGAATTCATTTAGAAATCCTCAATTAAAAGGCCAGTATCTAAAATTGACAATATTTATTAATACGCACCTATTGCTGGGTACATCCACATCAACGCAATCGACACTTCTTTCATGACCTTTACATGTGACCATTGCATTGATACTATTACGCTCAACATTCCAGCTCCAAAGTACCGCCGTCTCATCGTGGGAGGTTGAAATAAAACGGGCATTTTTCCCATCGTATTCAACCCAACGAACGCTTTTCACGGGTGATTCATGGCCTATACATTAAATAATCATAACAGCCTTAGAAAATTAGCGAATCACCAAAAAATATGTTTTCATTATATATAAATATATAATATTGCACCTTTAGATGAAAGGGCGTCGATATTATATTCATATTATTGTTATTATTTTAGATTTGCAACAACCGGCATTGTTAGAAGAAAAATATGCCAATGCTTACGCAGAGAGCAATAAGCGCATAAAACAGTAAAGGGCGTATTTAAAATGGAAATTCCTTGTCAGCACCAACATAATTATTTTGAGCTGCATGTACAAATGCTTAACGAAGTATTATTATTTCATAAGAATAATAAAACGAGAAAGGACTAAGCTCTAGACGACTTTGTTTCTCACATTCACAGATTCACAGTAACATATACCTGCCAAGGTGGTAAGCTTTTTCCCTGCGGTGGTCCAGATAGTGACGGAACAATCATAACTACCGGTGAGGATGAGATCCCGAGACCCTATACGAGCACAATGTACAGCCGATACCCAATCATCGTGTGTCAAGCTGTCTAGCACCTCCGGAATTGGGCACTTCACTGAGTACTCAATCTAAAGTATACAGATACAGATGGTAACAGATGGTGTGTACAGGGATACGGATACCGAACAGACATGCAAAAGGGGAATTTGTTGTCGGAGAATAGCATAAAAACAGGAGTTCATCGCAGCTGGCATTGATATGACAATTCACCGCATGAACAATTCTTAATGTCTATACATATTTATATATTATGTGGGTCTAAAAATGGTTTGTGTAAATGCATTGTTTTGATCTAATCTTCTTTAGGGTTGATAGTTATGAGTCGTATAATTTTTTTTAAGAGCCAGATTTTTCTCTCATAAGAGTAAACTGGGTAAATGTAATCCGTCGAGATTTATCTCAAAAGGTCACACAAATTAATTAGGTTTTATATCTTTATAGAGCAGATAAATCTAAACTTATCTTGTTTGTGCCAAATGTTTCTGAAAATTTTTATCTAAAGTGGTTTAGTTTTTGTAGTTCTACAAAACGCGATTTTTTTTGCCATTAAATAACTTCAATTGGCAGTGGGAAAACGAGTAGGTGTGCATCTAATCTGGAATTTAAGCGGAGTCTCCTGTTTTTATCAACAATGCAAGTCAATAAATTCGCTTAGAGAGACTGGAGGCTCATACTGGAAATTTTTAAATCAATACCAGTTAGATTTCGAAGTAGTCGGAGCCGCACACTGAAGCAGCGAATAAACGGCGATGGAATTGTGGAGTAAAGGGAAAATAGAATGAGTCAATTGCAGCAGAAGGGTGATGGATGTAGTGCAGCAGGGTCGCAAACGTAGCTTCGTATATTTACCTACCTAGGCTGTCGTTTAGATTAAGCTGGATGTAACACAAGCTGAATCAGTCAACAATAGTAGTGGTGAACACGAAAACAGTAAACGCATTCTAATGCTCGGGCTCTTTAGTAGAGTTATATTTATTTTACGTCAGGCTGCGCTTGACAGCAACAAATCAGAGAACATAGCTAAAGTAAGGGCAAACTACGCTTAAGCAAAGCTCGCAAATTATTTTACTATTAGGATAAGAATGGCACACTAAATGCACAATACGCCGTATCTTTCTTAGGTTTTGTTTGTATGTCTTACCTCAATTTCATTTTCGACAATGAGCCCATGTTCTTCTAGATGCTCCTCTACAGAACCTAAAAGGATGTTATCCTGAATGAAAAATTCAAACTCAACTACGTCATCATTTTCACGATGAAGCAACTTATTGATAATCGCGGAAAGGTGTTCCGAATTGAAGCGTCTCTCGAGAGCGATAGCAATCAACGGAACGGCGTAGTCTGGATCCCTGGTGACAAATTTACCCTGCACTGACGCTTCGGCGCCCTCCCCCGACATTTTTTAATTTTATAACGAAATGACGACCGATGAAACTGTGATGGCGTAACGATGATATAGATGTTCTTAGATTTCTAACACGACGTTAAAATGGGTCTTTCTTTCAGTGGCCTGCAAACTTACCATAAGAAGTTGGCATAATTAGCTATTTTTCACCGCAAAAAATAAACATTGTAGTAAGTAAAAGTTTCCGTACTCCATACATTGTGAAAATATGATTTTGTCTTCACTAATTGAAATGGTTATATTTTGAAATAAGCACTTATTAATTAAATTTATCTTGGTTTCAAAAATGGAACATGGCTTACGATTTTAACCTGTAAGCTTTTAATTGATTTTTCAGCCATGAAATATGTTTCAGGACCATAGGACGGGGTTCCATGGTACTTGAACAACATTCTCGATCTGTTAAACTAGTATTTTCCAACGAGAACCACATAAAACACGACTGCAATAGATGCTCGTAAATGTTGCACGTGTGCCCGTTTTATAGTAAAGCATTTTATACTGGTTTATTAAACGCGGACAGTCAGCTTGAAAATTAGTTTCATTACTATCATAGAAAATGAGACTTTTTCAGTGGTACGTTGATTACAATATGAAGGCAACACAGCGTGTTCCTGTCCAGCGTGTTCCAAATACTACATGAACTGTTAATAAAGTATAAACGATATTAAATAAAACTATCACTAAAACTCAATGCCAAGTATATAGTAACAATGCTTGTGCTCACTTCGGTATATTGCAGAGTCCAATGTTTTTACACGAACACCACACGACGTTAGCCACTCCGGTTAATATATCCAGCGGCAATGGCGGAGATTTCGAACCGCATGTGGCCGCTACCCGTGAGCTTATTTGTCAATAATGTTGTGGATGATTTTTGCTTGCTTTACCGCAACCAGTGCGAACGACACATACAAGAGGAGAAAAATGGACCTCTTATGGGTACTACCCGACAAATAATCTTAGTCACCATATTAATACCGTTGTTTTTGTTCTTATCCTAAGAGGCCTGACAATTACTAAATGTTAGCTTCAAGCATTTAATTAATTCGGCAAAGAGCTCAGTTCATCGGTATGTGTTTTGCTTCATCGAGTATATGTATAACATATTCAATTCAGTAGAATACGCACTTTATTAATGATATTTGTAAAGTAAAAGTAGGTTAGTTTCCTGCAGCCGTCCCTAAAACACCTAGTAGTTGCAATTTAAATATATAAATACATTTAAGCAAGTTACTTATCTATTATTACTTTCAATTATCATAATTAGTTATCTGAAACCCGGCCCGATTTGTGGGGCAAATTTTGTCCGAGCGTTGAGTTTTCTCCTGGTTATTGTAAATGCGGCTTTAGAGATCATCAATTGCCACTGAATCATACCGGTGGCAGTTAGCAACCGTTTCTGTGAATCATCAGTTCATTGTGATACTCATGGCATTGTTTATTAATAGGCTGATGAGCAAGCAATTAGGCCGGTTACACTTATGGCGTGGCCCTATTTTTCCTTTAACAATTTTCTTACCATTATAAGGTATAGAGTTGGCTCTGCATGTTGCGTATATAATGGGCCTGGAAGAAACATACTCCCGCCGACGGATATCCTTAGCTCACTGAATTCCTAATAGCCTACCTACAATGTAATAAATAAGGCTTGACTGGTCGCCAACTCTGAGTACCATGAGGAATAGTGGTTACAACTTATATATGTCTGACACCTTGTACTCTCAACGAGATGACTGACGCTGTATCTGGCGCAAAAATTAATACTACTAATGCTACTAATACCAACTAATACTACTAATGGAAACAATAGGTTCACTGCGATTATCGCCGCATCTATTTATCGATAAATACAACGATTGCATGACAGCCTAAGTGACGATATGCTATATTAGACAACCTCAGTAGGTTTCACATTAAGCAAGATGACGATAATGATTTTACCTAGTATACATTTCATATACTATACAACACGATGATTATGAAAATTTTTATCAGTTATAGCTTTACTGCTGATTTTTGCAATGTGTGAAAAAAGGGCTTCTTTTTTGATTACGCTATAGCCTTATTCTAGTACCTTTATAATGGTCCCAGAATACGGAATAGCGTTTTAAATACTATGGCAACTGCGACAGCATGTTTAGACCCTTTAAAAAATTTTATTATCAATTATACCGGTACATCCTGAAGACGAAAAACGAAGGCATAGTGAGGCTTTAATAAGGAAACTTCCTTCAACTAACATTTTCGTTCTCCGATCTGCCTGACATCTTAAGTGACCTTAAGTGACCCAGGCCAACAACACTAAAACACCATCATGGCCAAAAATATATTCATAAGGCCCAACAATGCGTGCGAGCCCAGCACTTACCTGCCTTGTGTCTGACGGCTAAAAATGTGAATATTTGGTCAAATCCAAATTAAGCTAGGAGTTACTCCAAATAAGGATTATGGAGCACGAGGTCGTTCTCAGCATTTAAGCTCTTGAATGATCACGTGGAGTTCAAATCACCGAAAGTTAATGCTATAGCTCCTAAGAAATAAGTTGCGATTACCGCGCTTCTAACACGTTCTACACTACCCTTCAATTTAAGGATACAAGGCTCCTTGGAAGCCCGTCAACTGCTCCTCGAATTAGAAACTAAACCTTATTTCTCGTTTGAAATTATCAGAGAATGTCTTACACTTTTCATAAGCAGTAGAACCGTTGGAGTCTGTTCGCTAGGTGATTTTAGGACCTTTTCATTACTTATCGGCATACAGAAAAACCTAGCTTAAAAGAGTCAGAACCATTTTATAAACCCGGGCTGAAAACACCTAAGGCAAAGTCATCTTAGGAAAACTGGAGCCGCGTCCTAGCTGTATGGCTCTGCCTATAATACATATGATTAAATTGTCCTTGAAATAATGTCCTGATTAAACAGCAGTCCAATCTTTACACAGAAACGCAAATTTAGTGTTAATGGGTACTGACGTTGACACTGATAGGTAGGATCAGGTCTATTTGTTTCTGAAATTCTTTCTGTATGAAGAGCATTTGTCGCATGAGGTCAAATAAGTTAAGACTGTCCGGCTGGCAACACATGGGCAGTTCATATACGCGGCCACGGTCAGGTGTTTCCTCTCGTAAAAGCCTCATTTCATGTTAAGTCTGACATGGCTGCCTTATCTTATACGAGCATAAAAGGCGCATTTTTTTCCAATCTTATAGCTGGCATAACCCAAGCAGTTAAACTACGCTCTTAATTACACGCAGTTGAACTATAAGCACCCGGCTAAGGTATTTATTTAGGCTGGCCCCGACTCCGAATATATCCTTTGCCGCTCGACATACACGACTGTGCATAACGGCGTAATCATCAAATGTATCAATCGCCTAAGGTACCCATTTCTAACAGTAGGTCTGTTCAGCCAAGGGGAACCCTTTACTACTGCAAAAAGTCAAACAAAGATTATTTTTAAAGGATCTATTTTTACTGTTCCATTTTTGTGATCGCATTTGATTTGTAATGGCTTTTTGATCCTTAACCTACCCTCGACATAAAGTGCCTACCTGCCAATTTAATATGTAGTAAACGTATGCATAGTTATGCAATGTTATATTACTAACTGTACGTTGTTCTCGATATTTGACAAAATATCCCGGGCAAGATTTGGTTTGAATAGTCGCACTTCTATCTACAAGCTCAGCTAGGTTAAGCGGTTCTGTGAAATCGCCTGTTGTTCATTGGTGAAAAAGGCGCCGTGTTAAGGATCGTACAGCAATAGTGGAACTACACCAGTGTTTTTCTATGTATGTAGCTCTCTTAATTATCACCTTAAGTACCATATGCTCAACATTCTGATAAAGAAATACCAGTGTCGTTACAAAACATGGCTTTTTAATAGAATATATTGTACAGCCGGAGCCTACTTGTCTCACCGGGCACAAATCCTGAATACTCTGCTGAGGTTTGCTGACAATAATGTACAAGATACTACAATTAGCTCAGCAGGTCCAAAAAACTTTTTATTATGATTTATGCTATAAAATAGTCACATAACATTGTCCTTTTCGTTCGAAACTTCTTCCATTAAGCATTTGCAACTTATTCCATAGCGACGTAAGCTATTGTAGGAACTCGCGAAATAACGCGTATGTTTTCCGGTGAGTTTTACCGGGCTTCTTTCATTTTCGATTGCCGACAACGTAACAGACTGGTCGCGAAGGTCATCCTAAGGAATTCGGTACCCAATGATTACATCAGGTCCTACGTTCCGCTTGCACGTTCCAAACTCGTGTCCGTAGGTTCCATTACAAAAACGAACTATTTGCTCTTATGGAAGAATCGCTTCTCCATCCGGGCTTTAGGAAAATGTTCTGCTTCTAACTCTACTTATATACCCACTACTTATCCGTTACCTGTAACGGTATGGTTTTACGTCTCTTGTACAGGTGTGGTCTTTTTTTACAAATGACCTTTGACAAAATAAAGATAAACAGTAACCTAAAATAATAAGAGCCCCGGAAAAAGAAACATATTTATACTTGTTAATTAAAAACTTCACCCTAACCGATGCACTGGTCGTCCGAAAACGTTTTCAACTTTTTGTGTTTTTTAGCTTCCAATTGGTATTGCTATCTGAAAACTAACCTTGGGGCGTAGTAAGTCATGTTTGAGCAATTGGCGCTGTCATAAGAAGTAGACAAGGAAACAAATCGGCTTGCAATAGGCCACATATGTGACCACGAACAGTTAAAAATATTTTACGTACACTTTGTAAACACTCTGGTCCTATTTTCTTGTCGAACTAACCCGTAGCTATGGAAGCCATAAGTATATTAGACCCACTGTACATACAATATCTTTATCCAGTTAGCAATGTTATACAACGATGATGGGAACATTACGGCGAGTATACACAAGTTGTGTTGATAACAGAAACAGTTTTGGATTCCATTTTAGGCTGTTCAACGTCGTTAGACGTATTTGAGGAGCATATTTATTAAATATGTTAATATAACATGTACATACAATTTTTCTCTTCAACGTACCCCAAGTTCGAGAACCTCCAAATATGTGTCACACAAAAGGAAAGTTTCTCGAATCAGGTATACCGTACACTTATAAAATAAAGAACGTGCTTCGGAAAAGAATGACTGACTGTGCCATGCACAATGCTCCGTTATAACTCGAACAAATTTTATATTACTTCTTCATAAGCAGCTGAATTCAAAAGAAAAAAATACTCGAATAAGTTGCTCGCATGTACTAATAGGGGCACATTTTATTTGCTTAACGTAACTTCCACGTATTTCATGCCTTTTTTACTCAGGGCCTTAACCACCCGGAATTATTTCAGCAAGTAGTAGATAGCTCTAGTTGTAGATCTTCTGCGTTGTCGTATGGGAAACTTTCTTGCGTCTCTCTTTTCAACGCGAGCACTGGACAATGCGTGATTTTTGTTTATATTCCAAATACTGATCTCCGCCCTCCATCATAATGAGGCAACAGTTTTGGACAACAAAGGACTGGTGTAGACATGTTTGCTACGACCAACTGTCTGCTAAATCTGTCTTTAATAGCGACGAGGTAAAAGACAACAGAAACTGCTTGAATATCAGATCGGTATACGTAGGATAGCATTATATAGTGGCATCTAACTTTTGCGTAACTTAACGGTAACGGGTTATAACCGTTAGTGATACCGATTTAATACGATACGGAGCTTAGTCTATAGAAAAGATCGTAACAAAGCTATATGCTTTGTTTTATACGTTAGTGCTAATTCATGCATGGTCTGATTGCAAAACGTCGTAAAGGAGCGGGGAAAACACTATT